CCCGCCCCAGCTCGCCAAGCCGCCGCGGGGTGAGCTCTTTGCCGTGTTTTTTATGCCGAAGGAGTTTCAGAAACAACTCCCCCAACCCACCAGGGCGCTCCCGCTCGTCGTGTAGCACCCCCGCAACAAAGCCGCCTACATAGGTCATGAGGTTCTCCGTCAGGGTGCCGGTCTTGTCGGTGAAGACGTATTTCACCTGGGAGAGTTGCGTATTCAAGACGGAGGTCTTCGGCCGCGCGAGTTTGAGCTGGCCGGTGAACTCGTCGTACACCGCCATCCGCTTATCCACGCTGATCATCCACGTCTGAATGATCTTATTAAATTCGAGGGTTACGTAGAGCGACATGGGGATGAGGTACGACAACAGCACCGAGTTTGTGAGGTAGCGCCACCAAAAAAGGCTCCCGTCCTTCAATTCGGCTAACTTTTGCTGCAAATACCACGTGGAGTAGCCACTCTTCACCCCATCCCGCTTCTTCAGAAGTTTGTTATTACACCAGACCGAGAGGCCGGAGAGGATGAGGTTGAACACCTGGCCGAAGATAAAGAGAAAGAGATTCAGCTGGTTAAGCCAGTGATCCATCGAGGTGCTTTTGTTCGGTTTGGACCGCATATTTTGCATAATCTTGGTGTTCTTCCCGGTGTAGACCACCGCGGCGAGAACCCAATCCGTGCTCCGAACGATGCACCCCCGCGGGAGGAATTGGGTGTTCGAAACCGCCACCACCTCCCCGGACGGGAGCTGAACCTGCCCAATCCACGAGTGAAAATCCGAACACGGCAGGCTGCAAAAAATCACCACCCCACGCGAGGCGTCCTCGGCCTCCCCACCAGGCACCGGAGAGGACGTGGTATAGCTGTGAGAAGGGCTCCCAAGTGGACCCCCCCTCCTTCCCCTTTCCCTTTCCCTTTCCCTTTCCTCCCCTTGTCGGAGTGCGACGCCTTCGTGAATTAGAATCTCCGCCACGTCGAGCACCGAACCCCCCACCTCACCGCCATTTTCGGAGGGCCTGGCGTGAATCCCCCCGCTACAACTCGTGCAGGCCTCCGAGGGCTGCCAACCCACGGAGGTCCACCCGGTATCCTCCTTTCCTGATGCATTCGGATCGTGATTGGAATGCGCGCCATCATCCAAACCACGGCGATTCGGGCGATCCAAAGGCGGTGAAAGACGACCCCTAGTGTGGGCGTTGGCCATCCTAGGATGGGGGGATCTCGCTTTTTGCGTAGAGGCCACGGACGGTTGTTTCCCGCTGTGGAGATCCTCCTCGCTGGTGAGGACGCCCGAGGTGTGGTTCGACAACGCCGCGGAATCCCTCTTCGACTGCCTCTCCAAAGTGGAAGCGTAGGGAAAGCCCTCGCTGCTGCTCGATTGCGGGGTGTGGGAAGACTGCCGCCCGCCCAAGGTGGGTGGGTGCTCGTGAGCTAAAACAGCCACCCGTGCGTTTTCAGGAGGTTTTACCAACCCTCCTTGATCGTGGTCACTCCCTCGAGGAGGGGGTTTGGTGGCGCCCTTGCCGTTGCGGCTCCTTATCCAACCACAAAAGCGCGTTTTTTTCCTATTTTTAGCCTCCTGGGCGTACATCGCGAATCTCGTATGGTCGGTGGAGCTACCGAGGGCGGCCTCCAGGATATCCTCCACGGTTCCTAAGGCTTCGACCGTTTCAATCCGTGCTCGGCGCATTTTGGTATTCACCTCACCATCTAAATTGCCCGTTTCAATGTACGTGAGGCCCTCCGGCAACGAGGTGTTCAAGATCATGCAATCTGCCTTGACTTCCTCACCAAGTTGGAGTAGCATCACGTCCCCAGGGGCGACCTTATAGCTCGGAATGGGCGTAAAGACGTCATTTCGGAGAACGTGAACCTCCATCTTGTTTGCCCTAGAATCGGCTCTTGAGCGTCTAAAGTCCTCCCAGAGGTCTTTTATAATTCCAACCATGAGCACAAAACAAAAAGGGATCAACATACTGAGCGGGGTAACCGGGCTCGCACCCGGCAGAAGCTCGATGATCATAATCAACAAGAAGTATATATTTGACACCTTGTTGAATTGGTTGATAATGCTCAGCGGAAATGCATTAAGGAGTGTATATTTTGCAGTTCGGATGGAATTGTTTGGGTAGTGATGCTTCACGTTGAGGTCCGGACGGAGAAGGTTGATTTCGAATAAGCCCTTCGCGCCATTGCAGTCAGCAGCACCTTTGTTGGCAAGCGTGGGAAATCCAAAACAAGAACAACAAAATAAGCCGGCTAAATATGTAATATATTTGATCCATAATTTCGTAATCTTGTCAAAGTATCCCATCGCAGGATCCGTTGGCTGCGTTCTACCGCAACCAGATCCAATCGAGGGAATTGTGTCTAATAGTGGCTGCGGGCACCGATTCGTAGGGAGGAAAAGAAAAGAAGCAGGAAGGAGGAAAAGAAAACGAGATAAAGAAAAGGACTCAATCGGCCAATAAGTATCCCTCAAAGGAAGCATTTGGTAAAGGTAAAATCAAACCATTATAGAAATATATCACTGGTGAATAACAATACAGAGCATAGCGTGTGAGGTGAGGGTTTTCATTTCGATGTGTGTACGAATGCGTTTTCTTTCCTTTTACATTCTGTTCAACCGACGCTGAAGCTCATCGCAGAGCTTGACGTAGTCGACCGTCTCGGAGTCGTCGCCGCATTCGGCTAGGACCATCAGCTCATCTAACTCCTCCGCGGAGCTCCGCGCGCCCATCGACGCGAACATCTCTATAAAGCGTTTTCGACTAATTTTTCCCTCCCTTTCCTTGTCGAAAGGGTGGAAGGCGGAGCGCATCTCCCGCACCATCTGATTATCCACCTCCTTTGTCAGGAGCGCGACGAAGGCGGCGAACTCGAGCCCGTCGGTGCGGTCGTCGCTGTGAACGACACGCAGCAGCTCCTGCAGCTCCTCCTCGCTGACGTGCATCCCGGTGCTCGCCATGGCGGCGTGGAAGTCTTTGCTGCTGACGGTGTTCGTCTTCTGCCCGCGGGTGAGGATGCAGAAGCCCTCTTGGAGCTCGGAGATGGTGTTGTGGTTGAGGGGGCCGCGAAAATCCGGGCTCGCGAGGCCGGTGATCATCGCTGCGGCGGTTTGCGGACCCCTCGGGGAGCGCACCGCGCGTCGATCGGAGGGAAGACTCATTTCACCCTGGGAGAGGGGCTTCGAGCGAGCGTCGGGGAAGGGGAACCACACGCACGCACTAAGACGCTTGTCTACAAATTCACTACGGTTGTTTGGGGTTTCCTATTTCTAAATCGAAGATCTCGGTGAAGAGCGTTCTTTTCCTTTTCTCGAAGGAGAGACAAGAAAGGAAAAGGAAAAGAGGAAGGTATAATTATAAGTGTAAATGAACAATCGCGTATGAATTGTACCCATATGAAGTATGAGAAGTGCATAGAATCAAAAATGGACAAAGGAATCTCGGTATAGTGGAAAATGGCCTTAAAACAAAGGAGAAATACATATTGAAGGTATCTGTAGAACGAGGAATTAATTAGTAGTCCATTGTGTCACCTTTTCATCACTGCGCTAATTCACCACACGCTTTGTTAAAAGGTTAAATCCCTTTAGTCTTTCCCTGAAATAACAACTAGGGTACTTTTTACATAAGTAGATAAAAAAAGAGGGAGTCTCATTGCTTCGGTGAATTCTGTGTAGTTTATCCTAATGATAGCACGTTTCCAGTGACCACACGAGGTGAGGAGCCTCCTATATTTCCTTTTAATTTCCTTTACCTCCACAAAAATATTTTTTAACCTCTCAAAAAAAAAGAAATAGAAACATCGCTGCCCTGTTCTTGCACAAACTTTTTATCCGGCATTTTCCAATACATTATTTATGTTAAGTGTGCTATATTTTCACCGTCTTCCATTGGTATATAACATATATCACCAGTTTGTAAAGCATAACTAGTTTAAGATAGGCATTCCATCAATAAATAGACCAGTCACTTTTTCCATTACCACGATGTACATATTCTACAAACATGTGTTTGGCCTTTCGAGTGGTAAATCGCGCAGAGTGGTGGTAATCTAACGTAGGTCCTATATCCAAAAGGAAAGAAAAGAGTCACAAATACGAGTGTCATTACGAAAAAACATACAGAACCTTGGGGAACTCCTGACACTCCTTCCATATTCTTCATCTTTCAAATATATTTCTAAATACAGGAAAAATACATCTCAATACATCGTGTCCATAACATAATAAATTAGTAATAATGATAATAATTCTTTGTTCCTTTAAACCGGATCCTTAGACAGACAACTTATCCAGAGCATTACGGTACTCCGCGTACAAACCAGCACAAAGATACTGGGGTGAATGTTTCGGCGCTGCTCCTTCTGTCGTTGTTGTGGTATCGGACCGCATATATAGTGAAGGGATTATTCAACCCTTCTTAGAAAAAAAAATTATACCTACTTGCTCATCATCATCTTCACGAACTCCTCGTAGTTGATTTGACCATCGCCATCAACATCGGCCTCGCGAATCATCTCGTCCACCTCCTCATCGGTAAGCTTCTCACCGAGGTTCGTCATCACGTGGCGCAGCTCCGCAGCCGAAATGAAGCCGTTGCCATCCTTGTCGAAGACGCGGAAAGCCTCCTTGATCTCCTCCTCCGAGTCCGAATCCTGCATCTTACGCGCCATCAGCGTCAGAAACTCAGGGAAGTCGACGGTGCCACTGCCATCCTGATCGACCTCGTTGATCATATCCTGCAGCTCCGCCTCGGTAGGGTTCTGACCAAGCGAGCGCATCACCGTGCCGAGCTCCTTCGTGGTGATCGTACCATCGCCATCCTTATCGAAGAGAGAGAAGGCCTCCTTGAACTCAGAGATCTGTTCGTTAGAGAGTTGATCAGCCATTTTTCTGGATGTTGTTTTTTCTTGTGTGTGTGGATGTG